ACCCACTCCACCAACTTGTCGATGTCCTTTCGGAGTTCCACACTGTTGTCCTCGCAATTTGTGATATTTCCAAGTTTTGTGTCATCTGTAAACTTTGAAATTGCCACCTGCACACCAAGATTCAGATCATTAATGTATATCAGGAAAAACAAGGGTCCAATACTGATCCTTGGGGAATTCCAATTCAAACATTCCTTCAGCCTGAAAAATATCCATTGACCTCTACTCTCTCTTTCTTATCATTCAGCCAATTTTGTAGTCATGTTGCTGATAACCCTTTCATACAATGATCTACTATTTTCCGGATGTGGAAATGCCGGTGTTGGACTGGGGTGGACAAATTCAGAAGTCACATGACACTAGGTTATAGTCCATAAGGCTTATTTGATATCATAAGCTTTTGGAGTGGTCAAATAAGCCTGTTGGACTGTAACCTGGTGTCGTGTGACTTCTGACTTTTTACAATTTCCCTCACTAAGTCATTGATTGGCACTTGGATCAAAGGATACCACATTAACAGGGTTACACTCATTAAGCTTTTCTGTCACCTCTTCAAAAAAACTCCTGTAAGTTACTTAAACATGATTTCCCCTTTAGAACTCTGTGCTGACTCTTCCTAATCAATCCATCTTTTTCCATGTAAGTACTAATTCCACGCCAAATAATTGTTTGTAGAAGCTTGGGTGGTGTAGTGGCTCAGTAGTTAACACTCACAGCACCAGGGACCTGGATTTGATTCCATTCCTGGGCAACTGTCTGTGTGGAGTTTGAACATTCTCCTCGTGTCGGCGTGGGTTTCCTCCAGGCGCTCTGGTTTCCTCTCACATTCAAAAGGTGTGCAGATTAGGTGGATTGGCCATGCTAAATTGCCCATAGTGTCCAGGGATGTGCAGGCTATGTGGGTTAACCATGGGAAGTGCAGTGATAGGGTGTGTCTGAGTGGGATGCTCTTTGGAGGGTTGGTGTGGGCTGAATGGCCTGCTTCCAAATTTTGGGGATTCTATGATTGATTCCCCACCAAGGAAGTTAATCTGACAAGTTCATAATGCTTGGCTTATCTTTGCAAAATTTCTTTAGCAAGACAATTCGTTAGCAATTCTCCTCACATCTCCTTTGAACTTGACCCCTCTCACCTTAAATGCATGCCCTTATTATTAGACAGTTCAAATCTGGGAAAAAGATTCTGACTGTCAGCCCTATCTATGCATCTCATATTTTTATAGACTTCTATCAAGTCTCCCCTCGGCCTCTGCCACTCCAGAGAAAATACCCCGAGTTTTTCTAGCCTCTCCTTATAGCTCATACTCTCTAATCCAGACAGCACCCTGATAAACCTCTTCTGCACCTTTTCCAAATCCTCCATATCCTTCTTGTAATGCAGCAACCAGAATTAAGCACAATACTTTAAGTGTGGCCTAACCAAAGTGTTGTAAAGCTGCGACATGACATCCTGAGATAACAAAGTGTAGAGCTGGATGAACACAGCAGGCCAAGCAGCATCAGAGAAGACATCCTGACTCTTGTACTCAATTCCCCGACCAATAAAGGCAAGCATGCCATATGCCTTCTTTACCACCTTACCTACTTGTGTGGCTACTTTCAGGCAGCTATGGACTTGAGCCCCAAAATCCCTCTGTACATCAATGCTGTTCAGGGTCCTGCCATTAACTGTATACTTTCCCTTCACTTTTGATCCCCCAAAGTGCAGCACCTCACACTTACTTGGATGAAACTTTATCTGCCATTTCTCCGCCCATATCTGCAACTGATCTATATCTGGCTGGACTCCTTCTTTAGTCACTCTTTTATTATTTATATGCATTGAGAAAACTTTGGGATTTCCCTTTATGTTAACTGCTAGTATTAATTCATGATTCCTCTTTGCTTATCTTATTTACTTTCTCACCTCCCTGCTAAACCTTCTGTATTCCTCTTGGTTTCAGTTGTATATTCTGCCTTACACCTGTCATAATCATTTTCTTTCTAATGTTACTTACTACTTTCTTTGTCATCCAGGGAACTTTGGATTTGTTTGTCCTACCTTTCCCATTTAAGGGAATATACCTTAATTGTTTCTGAAACATATCCTCTTTAAAGATAGCCAGTCAGACAGTTATTCCCCTGGTATATATGTTTAACATGCAAAATAGAATAAACTGTTTTTGGGTTTAGAAAAAAAATGTTCATTGAGAAATAAAATGCTTGTGGTTACTTTAATGGCGTGAGCCGTTGGTGACTAGAACTGGGTACAGATCAGAGAATTAATTATGGTTTGATTATTCCTGCTCTGTTTTGTTGTTGTAGCTCCATAGCTTAAAGTTGATTGCTAGTCAGCTTTGACTGTACGCATTTATCATTGAGAGTCCCAAACCGTTTTCAACATCTTTCTTAAATACTTCACCACACTGATTGGAATTTGTTTTATTAGACAACAAGGTGTAGAACTGGATGAACACAGCAGGCCAAGCAGCATCAGAGGAGCAGGAAGGCTGACATTTTGGGCCTAGACCCTTCTTCAGAAATGCTCCTACTATCTCTGAAGGAATTTGTTTTATGATTTATTCAGGAGATGTCACCTTCATTGGCTGGGCCAGCATTTATTGTTCATCCCTAGTTCCCTTAAGGTGGTGCAACCACTGCAGTCCATTTTGAGTAAATAGACCCAGAATGTCCTCAGAGAGAGCATTCCAGGACTTGGTCCAAGTGACACTGAAGGAATAGCAATATATTTCCCAATCAGACTTGACATGGAACTTGCAGGTTCTGGCGTTCCCATCTAACTGCTGTCCTTGACCTTTGAGTTTGTAGTGGTTGTGGATTTGGAAGGATCTGTTTACTGAGCATCAGTGATGGAGAGAGAGTGAATGTTTATGGGTGTGGTGCCACTAAAGTTGGTTGCTTTGTCCTGGATGTTCTCCAGCTTCTTGAATGCTGTTGGAGCCGTATTCATCCAGGCAAGTGGGGAGTAATTCATTCTATTCTTGACTTATGCACTGTAGATCGGGTGGGGAGGGGGGGGCGTTGGGGAAGCGGAGGCAGTCTGTGAGAAATCAGAAGGTGAATTCTGGCTGTAGGATTCTGAGCTTCTGGCCACAGTGCTTATAGTTCAGTTCAATTTCTGGTTAATGGTAATCCCCAGGATGTTGATTGTAGGGATTCAACCAAGGGAATGACTTTGTAGGTCAAGGCAATGGTTAGGTTGGAGATGGTCATTTTCCAGCACTTGTGTGGCAGGAATACTACTTGCCATTTTTCAGGAGAATGTGATGGCCTCATGGTATTACTGACAGAGACCCTGGTAATGTTCTGAGGACTCGGGTTTGAATCCTACCATGGCAGATAGTGGAAGTCACATTCAATAAATATGGAATTGGGAGTCTAATGATGACCATGTAACCATTGTCAATTGTCAGAAAAACACATCTGGTTCACTAATGCCCATTAGGGAAAAAATCTGCCATCCTTACATGGTCTGGCTGTGACTCCAGATCCACAGCAATGTGGCTGGGCAATTGGGGATGGGTAATAAATGCTGTCCTGGCCAGTGACATCCACATCCTGTAAATGAACAAAAAGCAAGGCACAGTGTCTTGTTACAATTGGGCATTGCTTCATTGTCTCAGTAGTTGTTAGAAATAAGATTAATATCTATTTCTCATCCGGTATGTAGAATTTGACATTTAATTGGATTAAATTTCATTAGCTATCAATCTACAAAACACTTTCTAAAATTAATTCTGCAATGTCTAAACTGCTTTGTCTAATTCCACAGCCTTGTCCAATATGGCATCATATGCAAATTATTCATTTTGTATTGAATTTCTGAACCTGAGCCATTTATATAAGTCACAAGCAGTAGTCATCCAAACATTGAGTCTTGAGAAGCATTGAGAAATCCTTCAACATCAATCTGACGTATGCTTAAAAAAAAAATTCTAAATCATTGTTTTATACCCTTTGGCCAATTTCTTACCCTTCTTTCCTGGTTTATTCTGAACTTGTACTATTTTGAGTTTCATAAATGTTCTTCCATGAGAAACATTTTCAAAACCTTTTTGATAGTTAAAGTTTACTTTTCTTTCTCCCATGATCAATTTAATGTCTTCCCCACTGTTTTGAACGGACCTCTTTAATGCTAATTCTGATCTCTCCCTCTGCACCTTATCTACAGCTGTGATACTGTATGCTGCACTCTGATGCATTTTTTAGGTTGGACCTGCCTGTATAGCATGCAAAACAACATCTCCCATGGTATCTTGATACGTGTGGTAATCAATCAATCGAGGTGAAAATTCTGGTATCATTTAGGGAATATTATGTACAAAAGAAAGTCTAGCCAATGTTGAAAATCTCAAAGTAAAACAGAAAAGGCTGGAAATACTCTGCAAGCCCAACCTTACCTTTCTGCTCCATTTTTGCTTGCTTAAAATCTATTATGTTGCTAACTTAGTCCACTTTTACTGACAGACCATTAACTGCCCTGTCCTCAAAAAGCCTTCTTGACCTGCCAGATTTTCCAATATTTTCTGTTTGGTTTCTCATTATGGAATATTTTGGTTATACTGTGAGAGTTTTCTGGAATTCAAATTGTGTAAATGGTCTTTCCATTTGTGTCTCTCTAGCAATGGAAAGGATATGGAAATCCAACATCATAATCTTCACTTTTTCATCTCCTTTACATCTGAGGACTATGTGTTCCTGGGATCAAGGAGAGGAAATATAGGAATGGTTTATAAGCGTGTTTTTTGATTTTTCAGTGTACAAAGCAATGTAACACATCTTTTGTAAGTGTTTGTTTTCCTAGCAATTTTAAGGGCTATAATCTATGTTGTTATTTTCATGTTTTGCACACCTAAATGCAGATTATTCAAGGAACTTATGTCTATTGTGAGTTACCACAGTTTTCAAAAGTGTCCATGCCTCCACATTCGATTGAACCCAAAACTTATGTGCTCTTTCATTTCGGATGATGAATCACTCAATTTGTTTTCTGCTTTTAGGCCAGTGGGGTCGATGTATTGGTGAAGACTGTGGTCCAAATGGAGTACAAAGTAGAACAGTGTGGTGTGTTCACATTGAAGGTTGGACAACGCACCATTCCCACTGTAAGTATGAAGAGAGACCAGAAATTCAGAGAGACTGTTTCAAGGTGTGCGACTGGCACCAGGAACTTTTTGAGTGGGAATTCTCAAAATGGGGAGATTGTACACGTCGTATTGCTTCAAATAAAGTTGAACCAAGGACCTCCAACTGTGTCACTGCACAGCAGGGACTGCAGCATAGGAAAGTACACTGTGTACGAAAATCCAACCGGTCGCTGGTGTTAGACGAGATTTGTGAATTCTTTATACCTAAGCCTGCCTCGGACCAAGCCTGCCTCATTCCCTGCCCACAAGATTGTGTTGTGTCGGAGTTCTCCACCTGGTCAACCTGCAGCAAAGGTTGTGGGAAAGGATTACAACATCGTGTTCGTTCGGTATTATCACCACCGTTGTATGGAGGTAATACCTGCCCATCTCTAACAGAAACTAGAAGCTGTGATATACAGGTCTCCTGTTTGGTTGGGGAGGATGAGTTTCAGTACAGTTTGAAAGTAGGTCCCTGGAGTGACTGCACACTGCCACACCAAAGACAAATCTGGCAAAATGGCAACACAGTTCTGAACTTTAGCTTGCAATCGTCAGGAAAGAATCACGTGAAACATCCAATCCACCAGCATTCCAAGGCATGGAATATAGAGATAGGATATCAAACAAGACATGTGCATTGTATGAGAAGTGATGGAAAAAACACCATGCTAAGGTAACATGATTGTTCCAGGTTTTTACTTGTTGACAAACATTAGTCAGTGTTTGGTGGAGTAAACACATGCAGCAAATAGTGAAGTATTGTACAAAATATTTGGAATCTTGCACCTTTATAGTTGGATAAAGGTTGATTTACTAACTGCAGTTTAATGCACTTCTGAACAATGGGGAGGAAAATTGTCACGATTTGAAAAATGAAACAAAAGTATGGAAGAGATACAAACATTTGTACTTTAAAGATTTTCATTTGAATACCCTTTTCAACCCCTTGCAGAAATAGGTTGGAAGGTGGGAAGCCTGACAAAATGAAGGTTTCGGGAGGGGAGTCTGATGCTTCACCTTTGCGTGCTGTAATATTTGTCAACAGTGGGGAAGTTGGCAACTCAGATGCCAGCCTAGATACCAATTGACCCACTTAAGTGAACACTGAAGGACAAATTTTCCTTCCATGGGCATTTTGGCTGCCTCATTTGGGGGTGGGGTGAATGGGAGGCATACTACAGAGACACTCATGTGAAACCTGGTGGGGTTGTGAAGGTGTAGAGTGTGAGGGTGTGACCTTATTTTATGGGCACTCCATCACTCATGCTGAGATATCCCCAGAAGCTGTGGCTACCCTCACATGAAAGTGCTTCTGGTATTCAATTAACATGCCCTCAGACAGTATCCCTCAGACCTGCCTTTGATGTTGCCCTTTTATTGAGGTTTCTTTGCCCTGGAGCTGTAGCCTCAACACTGTTGACTGCTAGAGGTGACCCTGTCATTTGAAAAAAAAAGTGCTGCGAATGCTGAAGGTCAGAAACAAAAACAGAAATTGCTGGGAAAACTCAGCAGGTCTGGCAGCATCTGTGGAGAGAAAGCAGAATCAACGTTTCAGGTCCTGACCCTTCTTCAGACCTTCTAACTGGGATGACTGCTTTCCTTAACTGACCAATGGTCCCAGCAGCTTCCTGTTAATTGGCCACTGCCAACAATATGCCACCTTGGGTTCCACCAGCTACATGGGAATTGCTTTCAGCATTGGCAATGGGACCATTACCAGCAAAATTCAACCCACACTAGTACTTTTGTAGTCTTCAGCCAACACTGTGAAACTTCTTTAAATAACTCTCATAGATACTTGTCCAAAAGCACAAGTTAATTAAATTTGTTAGAAAATGTGACCCAATTTAAATTTTTTTGTAGTTAATTATTTCAGTCACATTTTTTATGATTAAATTAACAAATTCACTCTAGTGTCCTAAAAACTTTATACGAGAATAAATATACTGGATAACACTTGTTCATACTAAGTCAGGGGACGCACTGCTTCTTAAGCCCAGGAGCATAAAAAAATGCTAAGTCTCCTTAGTATGCAGTCTAATTGTTAGTAAAGAATTCAATTAGAGATAATAACTTTTTAGGACTTCTTCAAATCAATTATAATTTAAATGGTTCTCCGTCAGTTGACAACATATCCAAAATTATATAAACAGTTAAATTTGGGTAGACATCATAAATAGGAATAACACAGTATTGAATCATAAACCAAGGAAAACTGGTGTCTTTAGAATTACAGTTCTTAATTTCAATGAAAATTGCAATATTTTTTAAACATTTGTCCATTGTGAAAGCCCAAATAGATTATGATATTCAGTGTGCCATTAAATACACAACAATTTTAATGTAATCCCCTTTTGTGTCGTGGAAAATTATTTATGTATATTTTATACTCATAGTAGAAGCTAAATCTAACTTATGCTACAGTGACTCCCAAAGCATTTCCTTACTTGGAATACCGTTGCCATGTTTTCGTCACCTGCCCTCTCCAAACCTGTTGCAGTTATACTCTCTAAGAACATTATTGTCTTTTCAGAATATATTGCTACCCTCTCTGAAGTTACGTAACCTTTCTGAATGCTGCCACAATTGTTATCCAGATTGCCATTGATTCCCTTTACAAGGTCACCATTACCTATTCATTCTCCCATACAAATATAATTGGCTTCAAAAAATTCACGTATCACTGACAATATAATTGAAATGCCTGCACATGAAGCACAGATATGCCATATGACACTTTTATGAACCTACTAAAATGTGTTAAATTGAGCATTTATCACAAGAAACATTACACCCCTCTGCCTAAGCTGTGATTCTTGCTGCTTGGATATATTCCAGTTGTTGTTGCACTAAGCAGTGGAGGATAATTAGTCTAAATTCTATGCTTTTTTTTCCATGGTTGTAAAATAGCATCCAAATTACCTGCTTTGATTCAATTAGTTAGAATGGATGCACATTAGGTGAAACAATATGGCATCATAAGGTATAGGGAGACAACAATAAGGATACTCCACAGTAGCAAAAAGCATGATGCAGTTTCAGTCTCTGTTTCTAATGAAATCTCATTTGCAGAAAACCTATTTAACTGGGATCATTTTAATCAGTTTAATTCAGCTGGAAGCCAAAATGAGTATTTATGCATCATTTATTGTATTTGCCTCCTGTGTCGTTGTTAATTTTCCTGCAAACGTTTTCCATGCTCTGAACATTGCAACCTTTGAACATTAATCCTGTAGGTTCTGACTTATCCCAAAGGATTAACATTCGAATTGTGATAACCTGTGAAGCCTTGAAGCTGGTTAGAAAGATAAATGTATGCTTCCATAATTACAGGACAGTGAGATAGTAAAGACCTTTTCCTAATGTATAAGACATTCCGATGAAATTGTAAAACATTTCAGGAGCTAATTAACTGAATTTCAATGGATAGATTGCAGTTGTCTATTTTTCCTGAGTTCTTTTTGCAGCATCAAGAAAAACTAGTTCCTGTCTTGGTGTTGGTGATATGCTTAACCAAAAGCTACAAAGCAACTACTTCAGAAACTTTCCGTAGGGTTTTTTTTAATGTCAAACCTACTACTGCACACCACAGAATTAAGACCAATCTATATGGTGTTAAATTGCTGAGTTTGTAAACCACCAGTCACAGGCTGAGTTTGAAAACATTGGCACGGAGATATAGAATGGATGGTCACTTAACCTGTTTTTTTTTCTTTATTCATTCATGGGATGTGGGTGTCACTGGCTAGGCAGCATTTATTTCCCATCCCTAATTGCCCAGAGGGCAGTTAAGAGTCAACCACGTTGCTGTGGGTCTGGAGTCACATGTAGGCCAGACCAGGTAAGGATGGCAGTTTCCTTCCCTAAAGGACATTAGTGAACCAGAATCGACTATGGATTCACGGGCATCATTAGATTCTTAATTCCAGATATTTATTGAATTCAAATTCCACCATCTGCTGTAGCACGATTCGAACCCAGGTCCCCAGAACGTTGTCTGGGTCTCTGGCTTTAGAGTCCAGCAATAATACCACTGGGCCATCACCTCCCCCCTGAACGTATTGATAACTGAAAGGACAATTTTCTGTTGAGCTATTAGGAGTGGGTCATTCAGCCCCTTGAACTTGCTCTGCTATTCTAGACAATGGCTGATCATCTACCTAAATGACATTTTCCTTTGCTTTTTCAACATCCCTTGATGTTATTAGCATCTAGAAATCTATTGATCTTTTATCACAATCATATTAAATATCCTCAGAGGATGGTGCCACCAGCTCAAGGATGAATTGGTGAAAGAAAAACCATGTTTAACCAACCTATTGGAGTTTTCGAGGGGATAACAGTTTTTGCAAATAAGGGGAACCAGAGAATCTATTGTACTCAGATTTCTTAAGGCCTTTGATAAAATGCCATATCAAAGGTTATTGTGGAAAATAAAAGCTCATGGTACAAAAGGTAACATATTGGCATGGATAGAAGATTGATTGGCTAACAGAAGACAAACAGTATGCACAAATGGGTCTTTGTCAGTGTAGCAATATGTAATGAGATAAGGAGAGGAATTGGTGCTGAGACTTCAACAATATCCAAATCAGATAAATGACTTAGATGAAGGGATGGAAAGTACTGAAGACGACATAATGATGCTAAAGAGTAATATAGAGAGGTTAAATGAGTTGGCAAAGGTCTGACAAATGGTGTATAACATGTGATTTGCAGGGAGAGGTCAGTTCAATGTTTGGAGCTCAGAGAGTGTTAAAAGCAGACTCTGGGCCATTTGAGTAGGAGAAGTCACTGAAAGCCATTGATAGTTCAGTATGGCTGAGAGCAGGGGTATAGGAAGCCTTCAGGCAATATATTCTTGGTGCAGTAGGGAATTATTGGAGCTCAGAGAAATTGAAGGTGTAATGTCAGTTGAGTGAGGCTATCTGACTGCAAAGAAACTGGACATGTGCTGATTAGAGTGCTGTCTTGGGAATTCAGAGGAAAACAGTCTCCTGGGAAATATTTACACCACCTAAGTGTGAGCCGTCATTGAGGCAGTCCGTAACAGAGCAGCTTTTGAGGGAATTCTAAGGCTAGATCTTTAAAACTGAAGAATTGGAATTCCTTCCAAAGGAGATGAATTAACTATATTTGCCTTTTAAAATACAGCGTGTGAAGTGTTTGATCACTTGTTTGTTTACTTCTTGTCAATCCTGAATGTTAGACTATATTGTGTATATATATTATGGATTTACTTTTCTAAGTTCGTATGATTAAATTTCATTCTTTTTTAAATCCATGGAATCCTTGGCTTTAAGTACCTGAGGTATTGAACTTGCTCCACTATACAAAAAAACCGAGAAGTTATTGGTCCCTAGCCAGACTGCGGTATAAATTTGATGGTTTTCCCAGGGATCATATCACTGAGCACACCCAGGTCTCTTTACATGGCAACATTTTTCATTCTATCTCCATTTAAATAATATCCTGCTTTTCTATTCTTCCCAACAAAGTATACAATGATCGACATTTTTGCTAAACTTTAATCTGATGATTTAATCAATGTGACTTTCTTGATTCCTGCACTCTTTTCTCTACTTTCTTTTCTTCCCATCACATTCTCATTGCTATTACCTATATTGCTCCCCTATGTTACTGTCTTGTCATTTCTCCTAACTTTCTTAATTG